AATAATAATAATAATAATAATAATAATAATAATAATAATAATAATAATAATAATAATAATAATAATAATAATAATAGTAATAATAATAATAATAATAATAATAATAATAATAATAATAATAATAATAATAATAATAATAATAATAATAATAATAATAATAATAATAGGAATAATACTAATGATAATGATAATAATAATAACAATGATAATGATAACAGCAATAATAATGGTAATAATAATAATAAAATTTTAATTTTTATTCTACAAATAATAGCTTATATCTGAAATTTTCAAAGCAATCAATGTAAATAAGTAACGAAAACGAAAAAAAATGGAATTAAAAATTCAATTACTTTTAATCAATGCCATTATTGTTTCATAATTTTTTATTTCCAATAAAAGTAATAGTACTTAATGATAAAAGTTAATTTGATATAATTTGGTTAAAATATAATAAAGCGTTAAAAAAAAAATAAAAAAGTGATCAAATAGACTTACGGAGAGGAATTATTCTTTGGCCGATATTATTATTTGGCTTAAAGCAAAATGTTTATTTCATTGCTTTCACTCTACGACTATCTTTCTAGTATAATCACAGTTGAGAATGCAATGAATTCATTTTCTCGGATGGATGAATAAATTCAAAAGGAAAGTGCTTCGTGTTATGTAAAGCATGAAGTAATTAATTAAGCCTTTCAAAGTTTATTCTCGTGAAAATTCTTTGGTACAATTAGTTGAAATATTGATTCATCCTTCTTTCATACGGTATGTATTGAATGATTGAATATTTCATTTTCTATTGAATTATGGATTAATCTATCGGATGAATAAATATATCAAATTTTTGAAGAATCAATCTTTCTAAATGAAGCATATATATACTAAACTAGTTCAATATTCAAAGTTCAAAGGTTACTCTTAGTTTGGCTAAAGATTCTCAGAAAAGATCGAGGAGAGAAATTTGTAGTAATGATGAAAGAAGCGATGATATATGGAAAATGGCATTACAAAAATTGCATACGAATAGTAATTATTCCAAAGAGAAAATTTAATTAATCATAAATAAATTAAATGGAATAAGTTGACTATAATTTCAGGCCAAAAATTTGTTAAATTTTGTGATTCTCATCCAAAATAAAAATTTCTTCCATTTCAACGTCTTTCCTCATCTAATTTTGGAATTTTTTTTCCTTCAATGCATAAAAAATTTTCAGCTATAATTAATAAATTAATTATGCTATGGCTAGCTGATAAAATTAAGTAATACGTGAATCATGCAACGTACGTTGCACACGTTTATGTCTGACGTATAATTATACGTGTGTAATAATACTTTTGAAAAAAAAAATGCAAGAATGAGGAGATAATATGAGAAATATTTCCCCAATAAGTTTTATAACTAAATATAAATAAAAATTAAATTTGTATATTTTAACAAAAATAAAAAAAATTCTATGAAACATTAACTTTCAAAAAAAAAAAACAAAAAAAATGTTAAGAATAAGATTTGCAATATTTTGAAAGTAAAATATCAAAATACAATGAATGCTTTTAATCTATAAGAATAATTGTAATTAGTAATAAGATAAGAATGAAAAATGAAGAATACTTAAGTTAAGCTGATTCACCGGAAAACGAGGGGGGAACAGATCAGGGATTTAGTATCATAATGGGGAATTCGCACGACAGCATCATTAAAAGCAGCCATAAGAATGATTTAGTAGATGCGATGGATTTTGGTTCGTTGGCCAAGAAGTGCGCTGTGGAAGGCCAAATGGATATGAAAGGATGGGAATTATGCAAATTAGCTGTGAAACAACAATGAATTCAGTAATAATGTTAAAATGGGCCTTAGGACATAACAAATTTTCCATAAATTGTATAAATATGTAATGCATATATTTATGCAAAATAAATTTATAAATATTATTAATTTTTCTTCTAAATTTAAAAATTGACTTGTCGTTTTGTAAATTTAAAAGTTCATTAAATGTCCAGTTAATTGGATGCCATAAATATGTTTGTAATATAATTTAACAATTGCAATTATATAAAAAAAGAAAAAGAAAAGACTAAGCGTTATGATAGGCTTACATTTTATCGATTCAAATATTTTTTTTTTTTACTTTACCAACAATGGCACTTAATTTTACCTGCAAAAAAAAAAAAAAAAAAAAAGAAAAACGAATTCTAAATTTTAGTATTTTAATAAATAAATCAGTAAAGGAACAAATTCCAAATTTTACTATTTTAATAAATAAATCAGTAAAGGAAGTTTCAGTAAAAATTAATGGAATGGAATATAAATTTAAATAATTGAAATATTTGGAATAATTGGTTAAACAGATATTTGTTAATTTGATTACAATTAAAATTACTGAATTCTTGTTTATTTATCAGTAATTGAAAGAATTTGTACATTAGATGGATTATTTATCTATAAATATAAACAATCGTGCAAATATCATGAATAAAAGTAAAAATTTTTTATAAAATATTTTTGGGTGTAATTTTTTAATTAATAGAGAAATAATTTGGTTGAATTATTTAGTTCTCACATTACTAAATTTGTAAAATTACTATCAATTCGTGCATTTTTTTTCCTTTTCCAACAATTTCAATTTATAGTACAAAGTTATTTCGATAAAAATTAAAAAATGAATTTCAAAAATTTCAAAAATATTATAACATTTATGGGAAAAAAGAATGATATTTAAGTGTCAAAATATGTCAAGCATAAAAAGAAGAAATAATTATATTAAATGAGAAAAATAAATAATTAAATTTCTATTTTTTTACAGTTTTTTTTTTGAATATATATCTCATTATTATATTCCATTCTATTATTGAAAAAATTTTTGCATTGTTATTTTAAAAATTAAAAAAAATGAAAAGGATGAACTATTTCTAATAACCAACCTTTTTTTGCACTAAATGTATAAAATAGAAGACGAAGAACTTGAATTTAATTCCTTTTAATTTGAATTTATTTCCTTTTAATTTTTGGATTTAATTCCTTTTGAGTTATTGATATCATTAAAATTTTTCAAACTTTCAAATTTCATTTGAATTTTTGGTATTCTGAAAGATAACCGAATTAATAAATCATTCATTTCAAGGGTTTTAGAAAAAGTACAACATTCGAAGATTTTCAATAGTACGCCCATATGGCGAATTCAATCTTTTCATTTCAAAAATTCAATCATGAAATCACAGTTTTTCCTTACATACATTAAATTTCATTCCCCTATTTTAGATAAATGTTAAATAATAGTGATAATTTTGATTATTATTTTTAATACTAATTATTGATTGATATTCTATTTAGCATTAATTCGATCAATTTTTTAATTTTTTAATTCATTAATTCTTCAATTAAACATTCATATTATTTAAAAATTATTTCATATCTAATAATAGATTTTTTTTTTAATACGAATACGTTTATGCCACATAATTTATTCCTAGGCTCTTTTGTTTCCATTTTTATCACAACTACTTTATCTCATTCCTAGGCTCTTTTGTTTCCATTCATTTTCCATTTTTATCACAACTACTTTTTC